TACACCATGTTGAATTTATATCTCATTATAAACTTTTGATGAGGTTGGGATTAAATTATTTTTGACATCGGTATGTTTTTCTAGAATACTAGAAAATTACTTTTTCCATTAATTAGTGTCTCTTCTTTTATGAAATGTAAAAGGGCTTGTACAATTTCATTTAAAATGTATATATATAGGGTTAATGTAAATTGAATTTATAAAGGGGTTTGGAAATCCATAAAATTGCCGCTTTGAAAGGATATCCTTCTCGGGATTGATCCGATCATTTTCTTTTTAACGAATTTAAACGTTTTAGGCCGATACATTCATGATTTATTTTAAGCTTTACTGATTTGGCTTGGTTTTAAAAATAGATCGGTCTCCTGTTCGTTTGTTTTGTTTTCTTTTTTTTTATTTTAACGGTCAAGTTAAAAATAGGAATTTCCGATTTAATTATATTCAGAAATGATTCAGTCTTAAGGGAAATATGAGGGAAAGAAGGGAGAGAAAATTAAAAATAAGATTTAGAACTTCAATGTGATAAAACCTAAAGGGGGATAGAATAGTTAACCATCTACCGTTCCTTTTTGAATATGAAAGATAAAACTGAAAATTGGAAGAATATTTGGGAATTGGAAGAAAGTGAGAGTTTAGATAACAATTAGGGACATGGATTGAAAATATTAGTAGACCTGCACTTAGGTCCCTTAAGCTTTGAATAAACTTAAATCCAACTACCCTAACTAGGTTTGAAGCACACTTCACAACCCTTTTGCCAAAACTATAGGTTTACCCCTTAGGTTTTAGGAGCTTGATGGTGAGCTAAACTTAATCTAAAGAGGTTTGAGGGTTAGTTGAAAGACAGTCAGTTAAAATTAGACACTTCAAGTAAACTAAAGTATATGCTTCCTAGATCTTAGGAGCACACCTTGAGAGAGTCCATCCTCCTAATTTTCAAATGATCCTAAGAAGCCAGACATCTGACCCTAGTTCATGAGATAACTAGGACACTAGGCACGAGGGTGCACTAGATTGTGATTCATGACTGATTTAATTAGATCAAATAATGAAATTCTTACCTTAACTTGACCAAAACTACCCAATTGACAATTGGGGACATCTCAATATCACATATAAATTTCTTATTTTTGGCCCTTTATATGTGGTATTGTATTTTATTTTATTTGTTTGTCTTCTTCCTACGATTTACCTATTTTTTTTCAAATCTTTGTCAGGTCATACTTTCCTCTCTTACACAGCGCATAATAGCTGAACTTAAAGGAGCAACGAGTCTCCCAGGTGTATAAGTTTGATTTACATTACAGTATTTTCTTTTATAAGCATGTTGCTGTCCTTCTTCTTTACTGTACACTACATTGTTGTTTTTCTTTCACACTGCATATTTTACTGCTTAGTTTTTGTACTATGTCTTAGTTTAGAATAACCTAGTGGTTAGGTGTATTTTCAAAACCAAAACTAAACCAGGAGGTGCTACTACGAGGAGTTTGGAGCGAACACCGTGGGCAACACGACGAAGAACAACCTCAAGTTGGATCAGCAAAACATCAAAACACATCACATAAACATCTTCACATCACCTATCACTTCATTTAGTTTAAATAACAACTCATAGGACACCCTTCAGGCTTTTGCACAACTCTGTTGTGCAATTATAAGTCCTAACACTTTAGGATTCTGAGGTTACCGTGCGGTACGGTGTAAATCCTCCTATCTTTTTAGGCTATTTGCACAGTCCAATATTGTGTAAACATAAGTCCTAAATCCTAAATAATTTGCAGGATTGAAATATCAAATTAAATTATTTCAAAGACATAAAGCCAAACAATAGGATAGTTGGGGCATCTCCTGGGTTTCTCCTGAATCTGTGATATCCCCTACTTTTCTTTTCTTTGGATTCCTTAAATAATTGTTCCTATTTTGAGCAATCCTCATTTGATTTTCCAATGTCAAATCGTGAAAACCTAAACTTTGAAATCTTGAAAGCAAAACCACCTGATCTTAATCGAGAGTTTTCTTAAGTGGCCCCCAGTCATTTAAGATGTAATTAACTATAGGGGTTTGCCTCTATAGGGAACCTGGAACCCAGATAAAATAAACCTATCTAATTTCTTTTATGTTAGGCGAGGGAACTTGTTGGCCTTTTTATAAAATATTTCGCAGACTAAAATGGATGTCACAATTTTTTTAGTCTAGGTGATTGAATTCTCATTACAAGTGATATATTTATCCTTCGAGATAAGTATATTAATTGTAGTATTGTATTCAATCATTTAAACTATTTAAAATGTGAGACCCGTTTAGTCTCACCTATTTTAAAATTAAAATGTTACTTTTGTTACTTTTAAAAATGTTACTTTTAAAAATCAAAAGGGTTATATTCATATTTAAATTATTTTTAAATCACAAAATCATCGCTTTATCAAATTACGAAGTTAAAAACGGCCGACAGTGCGTGAGTTCGGTGAAATAGGTTTAAAACAAGGATTTTGTTATTATTATTTTTTTTTATTTCGTTTTACTTTATTGTGTTATATTATTTAATTATATTAATTAGCGTGTGATTTATTCGTGCTCGGAACCTTAGCAAAGTGGGTATCCTCTGGGTAAAATTGACGCTCCAGACTTACTAGCGCAGTTCGTTTCATCATTCGAGGTCGTTCGGATAATTCACCGATTTGCGTGTGATTTGCTCATGTGCAGAATCATGACAATATGAGTGTCCTCCCTAACTAAAATTGACGTCCCGGACGCGCCGGGCAGTCTAGTTCGTCATCGAGGGTTGTCTGGACAAGTTCACATTTTTCACCCTGTGTATGTGAGTGTGTTGATAAAGTCTTAAAGAAATTTTCCTAGGGCTTGAGATACTATTGGGAACTCTCTTTAATTTCTCACATGTTGGTCCTTCACCACTCAACCAAATGATAATGATTTGAGACCACCCAGGCAAGACACCACAAGAGAATCGGGAAGTGGTTCAAATTTCTATAAAGGGATAGGTCCCAACTCTAGTCCTCTAAGATAGTCAATATGAAGCCTTAGAGCTAGATCCTATAATCTAACTAGAGAAGAAATGACCTCAAAATGAGATCAACAGGCGTTGACGAATACAAAGCCAGTTTCTGCCAAGTTGTGTGTTGTTGCAGGAGGTTCGTTGTAGATCATTGTCGGTCCAAATAGCTTCCAATTTGGACATCCCCATCCATTATCTTAGACGTTGTCTATTCAGGTTGAATTAACTGACGGATATCCCAACTATTCGAATGAAGATTGGTAGGATGGGGCTTAAATTTTGATGTTTTATTTTAGGAAGACAGGCTGAAGACAAGGTGGAGCACTAGTTTATAAGCTAAGGCGCCAAATATCATCACGATCTTAATGGGACAACAATAACATTTACTAAATTTTAACTAAAATTTAGAGCATATTGAAAGTTAAATGCTTGGCCACAATTTGACCAACATTGAACGCGACATCCCGAAGATGTTGACCAGTTTTTTGTTTCATCCGATTTTTAGCTTGTAGCATGTTGTAATGGAGATGGTGAAGATGGAAATGTTGAAGTTTGAAGCACTTTTTAGTAGTTTTGCAATTCGTCAAATTGACAACATAAGGATAGGTTATCGCCAATGATTGTGCAATGCTTAATCGTTTCAATAGAAGATTGGAAGGAAGTGTTGTAGGAGAGTTCCGCCCATGGCATATAGTAAGTCCAGCGATTGGGGTAATCAAGAACATAGCAGCAAAGGTATTATCCGAAGAACCTACCAGTGATGTTGATTCAACTGTGTTGCTGTGGAGTAGTTTAGCCTCCATTTAACTCAATATATCTCAACAAAATATGCTCGTAAAAACATGATCCCAATCGGAGGTTAAAACCTTTGGTTCTCTATGTGACAAACTACCATTGATGCTTTGAAATTGGCAAGAAGTGGTATGAAGTGAGTGTAAATGATTAGACGATCAACAATGACAATGATTTTAGCCTTGCCCTGTGATCAAGGTAAACGACTGATGACATCCATGGTAAGCTCGTTACACACTGCCTCTGTGACGTGTAGGAGGCCAACAGGGACAAGGGGTTGATATATAGTTGCTAAGTAAATTAGGCATGAATGACAACAAAATCAAATTTGATGCATGGATGCAAGTACCAAGCAGCAATTAGCATAGTATACTAAAAACAAAGAAAACAAACGGAGTCAAATCAGAATACTAAAGTGACACAAGAAGTGGAGTATCTATTGGAGATTAGATAGTAAAAAATAAACTTCAATGGCGTTAAAAGACGAAAGTTATCACAAATAAATAAAGTAGATTAATTAACCTAGAACAATTAGAAATACAAACGGTATAACAAAAATAACATAACCAAAATTCTCATAAAAAAAAACTTCGATGAAAGAGTTGCATCTTTAGGAACATTAAAAAAAAAGGTTGATTTTCATGAAATAAGCCTCAAATGGTTGGGATAAGCTTAATGATGAATGATTAACATTCTGACTAGTGAAACCATGATTTAATGTTTACATTGATCTTCATTTCCTAGTTATTATCAACTCAGGCCAAGTGTTTATGAAGAACATGGACCTTAGAAATTGTTTAAAATATTACTAATAACCTAAATTTGCAATTTTTTTACAATATTGATAAACATCTTAGACACCAGGGCTTCTTTCAATCTCTCACACACTCATCGTGTTATAATTGCAAGCCAAAGCAGTTGCTCAATATTTTTTTTGTACAATTTTTTTGCCCAGCTTGTAGACATTTTACTTTTGACCTTCTATAGATCAGGAACAGAAATTGGCGCACCGAGGTTTTTCCAAAACTTTATCAGTCCTACCAACTAAAGAATTATCAGTTATACCTCATAGTAATAGAACAACAAACTTCGGTATCTGATTTTCATTATTTTTTGTTGTAAAGCATCCTCCAAAAACGAAATATATATGTGAAGGCATAACTCAAGAGTAGATAGTCATCAAAACGTTTAATACCTGGAGAAGAATCAGTAAACATAATGGACTTGAAGAATCAGGATCATGGCACAGAGAGCAAACAGGTAATGACTGTTCTCTAACTTCAACTTTCTCAAAAGATTCCTTCTTCTTGTACGATTCTTGCTCAATGTTATTGGAGCTAAGACTTTCAATAAATTTGGACTGCTCTGCTTTCATTTTTTCCTGCAAAAAAAGCAAGAGATACACCTACCCTTATCCCAGTGGTCACAATCACAGTAAAAGCATGAATTTACTTTCTCAGCACAGCAGTGTAAAAAGATGCTTTCTCCGGTAAATAGATTAGTTCTATGATCACGTAAACAAGACTATCTATAACAGTTCACAATCAAACCTTGACTTTATATTTCACGATATCAACAGCTTCACCAATCATCACATTTAGGAGCGAAAGAAAAAACTATAATAGAAATTATTCTGTCAAGAAATCAATTTCCTTCAATTTTGAAAACCTCTGAATACGCATATGCAGAAACTCAAGGATGGCTACGCGGGAAAGAGAAAACGGAAGAATTTAATTAAAGCGGTTAATATTGATAAACAACTACAGATTGCTATCATATTGGCAGTAAACTCAAAATTCACAAAAAAATGCATACAATCTAACAAAACAACCAGACCTCATGCACAGTACCAATCAGAAAATAGAACCACCATAAAAATTTGATTGATAATGTTGTGATGTACTTGAAGCAAAAGAAGAAAATAATGGAAGAATGGTTTTGCAACTCTGTTACCTAGGTCATCAAACAAGAAAAGAGTTCTCATTTCCAACACTAATTAAAATTACCTTAAAACAAGCTCATTAGATGCAAACTAAAAGTAACAAATTACCAAAGGAATTCTACATTAGGAAAGGAAAAAATTGATATAAAGTTGCTAAAACATACCAATATGGCCGCCTGACGCTGCCGTGCTTTTAATTTTCTCTCATCTATGTCAGTGTTCAATGCCAAACTCTGATTAGCACAATTGACTTGTGGCTCATTACAGATTACACTAGGAGCCAAACGCTGGAGCTCAGACATACAATTAGCATTTAACTGTGCAAACTTCTTCAGTAAAGCCTCAATCAAAGAAGAAATGTTACATTGGCTTGTCTCAGAATACACATCATCAGTTTGTTCCTTGTATTTCCTCATTAAGGAAACTAACAATGATAGCATGCTTTGATTTTTCCAGAGCACAGATACACTGCAGGAACCCAAATCAAATTCTTCACTAGCACTGGTTAGTATTGGAGGAGGATCATCAGTAAGGGAAAGTTGTGTTTCACAGATATTTAATGCTAAGGAAACCAAGTGCAATGCTGTAATGAGCACTGCGTCTGGAGCTCGGGAAATGGATGATCTCTCGGAAAAACAGGCATAAAAAAAAACAACCCGAACAATTTGGAGAACCATTTTTGATGTAGCTATTCTACATACACAAAATAGAGGCTCAAAAATAGGAGTCCATCTCGGTAGCTGAGCATTCAAGGCAGACACTTTACAGAAACGGAAGAATCTCTCCTCCGCAACTTGTAGATCTCTTGAGCCCCAACGAGGATGATACAGGTCCAGTTCTTTCCAATATGCTTTTCGTAGTGAATACTTTCCCTGGAATAAAAAAATATATATAACTAAAACGCTGTATCATAAACATTATAAAACTAAAAATATAGTCTATAGTGGTCAGGAAAAACCTGCTTCATTCCAGATGGATTGCTGTATACTGCAAGCAGGTCAACAGCATTTTGGAGTTTATCACTCTTAGACAGATCCCGAGGCAGAGATTTAACTAGCTGGCTATGAGTTGCATCACCAATAGCCAACCTATAAACCAATTCTCTCTGTAGATTTGCAGCCGTAGATGACCCACAAAATCTACGTTCTTTAACAATGCGTATGAATAGAGTAAGCATTTCTTGTACTAGGACGGATTCATACCTGAAATGAACTCTTTCATGATGCATTCAATTCCTGAGATTGTTTATACAAGAGCAATTCATGCTAACTTTTAGAGGTTATAACCCAACAATGCATTGAAAAAAAAAAACAAGGCGTGCCTATACATAAATTTTATAAAGGAATACTACAGAAACTTGACTAAAAAAAGCCACATCAAAAGGCTAGTGTTTTAAATAATCAACAAGGTATGAAAACATTGAAGAGGTAAACAGCTAGTACATACAAACAGGCAAGTAGCAAAAAAACATGCAACCACTTCAGCCCTATGAAGCATTTGAAATTTCAAACACAACATAAGCATCAAATACAGCAACAACAACAACAACAACAAAGCCTTAACCCCACTATGTGGGGTCGGCAACATGAATCCTTTTAACATGAATCCTTTTTCTTAGTGTCATATTTTCATTTAGTTCTAGTAAATTAAGATCATTTTTTATACAATAAGCCCAAGTCTTCCTAGGTCTACCTCTGCTTTTCTTAACACAAATCAAATCTAAAACATCTACTCTTCTAATCGGATCATCAGATGGTCGACGTTTAATGTGAACAAACCATCTAAGACGACTTTCTCTAATTTTGTCCGTCACAGGAGCTACACTAACGCTATCATGGATATATTCATTTTGCATTTTGTCCCAAAGTGCAAAGCCACCATCCACCTAATCATTCTCATCTCGGCAACGCTTAACCTATTATTATGCTTCTCTTTTAAAGGCCAACATTCAGCGCCATAGAGCATTGCAGGTCTCACCATTGTCTTATAAAATTTTCCTTTCAGTCTAAGCGGTACTTTTCTATCACACAAAACGCCCAAAGCATTCCTCCACTTCAAGCAACCAACTTGAATCCTACCATTAACATCCTCATCTATATTACCATCACTTTGAACAACAGACCCAAGATATCTAAATCGTTTATACCTTTTATACCTTTTAATAATTTGAGTCACACTTCTGTCACTAAAGCTACTATTACTAAAATTGCATTCCATGTATTCAAAATTAGGAGCCAAAGTTTCAAAATAAACCTCATGAGAAAGCCACATATTTTGGCCAATAATCCATAATTCAAGATTTTCCTGAGCTTTTTCTCTCGTTTTATCCATGAGAAGGATATCATCAACAAAAAGCATACACCAAGGTACATCCTCATGTAGATGTCCAGTAAGACCATCCATAACTAAAGCAAAAAGATATGGGCTTAAAGTCGACCCCTGATGTAATCAAACAGAAATAGGAAAATATTTGGTCAATCCTCCTTCAGTTTGAACACAAGTAACAACTC